GTATCATTTGACCTAATGTGCCTTGTATAGATTCGCCATCCCCGGAATAACAATTATTTCATTGTGGTGTTTTAAAAGAGTCATAAAACTATTCATAAGAATTACAAAAGTCTTTTGATAACAATTATATGTGGTCATGAGGAGGAAGCCTTGTCCTTTAAGACTTAAAAAAGTTTTTCACACTCATAATTATGTATTATGAAAAGTTTTTTATAATATAAGTCTCAAAATAAAAGTCTTTGAAGGCTTAAAAATCTTCATCTCTCTGACTAGAATAATTGATACAATATTGATTGACTTTTATTCTTTTCTCTTATAATAGCTGTGTATGTCTCTGCAAATGGGCAAATGACTTGAAGCCAGCTGTAAGCCGACTTGTGCTCTAGTCGAGTATATTTACATAGGCATACATATCGTCGCTTGGAGCGCAATACCGCGCATACGCCAAATGCAGCAATACCCCGTATAAGATAGTCCAAAACTTTCACAAATAAAGAAATAAACTTATTTTATTCACAACCGTTGAATGGTTTTCTAATTAAACTTACTAAATACAAGAACAATTTATTACTTATCCTTGAACATAATCATGCAAAAATTTTATCTAATTCATAAGAATGAAAATATTGGTTATCATTTTCAATATTTATAACACAAAAATTCATTGACGACTTTTGTCTAGCTAGCTTGTTCTATTAGAATCACTGTGCAACGTACCAAATTTTAAACAAATTGGACCATAAATAAGATTTCGAATAGATCGGTATCTGGTCCACTTCCCGGAAAAAAGGATCCTATATGCTAATCTAGGCAAAAAACTACCTACGCACAGTGCTTCCCTTTCATATAGAATGTGGACAAAAACAGAATTATGGACGGATTTAAATCCAATTTCGCTTCTGAGTAAAATTGAGTGCGCTTAATTCGAAAATGAAATTTGTTTTTGGATAACTGTGTTGGTTATTGGCCGTTTAATATAATTTAACTTTCATACTTCATATAATAATATAATTTAACTTTCATACTTTCACTGTAAATGCATTCTTAATTGGAAAATTTGGGTTCTTGTGGCATTTATATATAGTTCGTTCTATTTTCAAAAGTGAGGAGTCAAATGACAGGGCTTGGCCTGTAGATGTGCAATAAAGTTTTATTTTTTTTAAACGGATTGCCACCTGTTACAAATTTTATTAACATTTTTCAATAAGTTAAATGAATTAGATATTACAATATGGGTATCAATTGATATGGTTTTGAAAATGCTTTACTTCTTAACGACACGTAGAAGGGTAGCCACAAGAAAAATCAAATTCCCTTTAATTAAGAGAATAAGGTAACTGAAATATGTATATCAATATGGGTATCAGACAAAAGAAAACATTTTACATATTTAGCAAGAAATAAGTGAACAGTAAAAACATTCCTGAGTTAATTTAAGAGTCCAGTAATTTAAAAGGAATGTAATCGGAACAAATCACTGATTGACAATGTATGCATTTGTAATAAAATGACAAATACGATGTCGCAAACCTTTGGTTTGACACAATTATTATTTCAGTTTAACTAAATTTGACTTCACAAACAGGTGGCAACCCTCTTCGTAATATTTGCAAGCTAAAACCTTCTTAAACCTCTTTCGTCTGACTCCCATATTGTTATACCTATCTATTTCAATTACCTAAATCCTTTAATTCAAATGGAATTTGATTTTTTAAACAGCTGGCAATCCTCTACATGTAGTTAAGAAATAAACCCTTTTCATACACACTTCGATTGATACCCATCTCTTAATAATTCATTTAACTTATTAAAAAATTTGAATATAATATTTTAACAGGTGGCAGCTTTTAAAAAAAAATATAATGAACCTCTATTGTCCACAGGCCAAGCGTTTTAATCTAACACTTCAAATATGATTTTACGCTTTAGCAAAAACGCTTTACTCCAAAACGTGTAAAAAACTAGCAGGTTTTTATTGCCTCTTACGAAAGCTAAAAACCCGTACCATTTAACAAAATAATAAAAAATAACATATTTTTACATATATTTTTTATTCATTTTATTAAAATTTACAATTTTTTGAAATTTTGATAAAAAAAATGTTTTTCTGGAATACCGCAGGGACACCCTGTGTTTAATATTATTCTAAAATTTGTATTCCTGTATTTCTCTACTATCTACACTATTGTCAACTTAATGCTTTTCGCATTAAATTTATGAGTTTGGTGCTCGGTGCGTTTTTTGGTGCTTTTTTTTGAAGACACCAAAAATGGAAGTTAAATTTATAGCAATTGTAAGTTTCGCAAGCAACTTTAGAAAAATTTAAACAAAAGCATGCCACAATGACAATCATAAGCGAGAGAGCATATGTTTGCCAACAAAATATGTAGCAGCAATTTCAGTCATGCCAGAATTACATCCGGTATTTTGCCATTGCCTGCCGAATGGCGACTACAGGAATGGATCTCTAGTTTGGGCTGAATTTGATATATGTATTTTGTACGACTATGCAAAAAACGCACCAGAATCTCTTAACAGTAAAATTAATACCGATTCTTTTAAAGAAAGAATAATCGAAATCGGGTGAGATTTGTAAAGTAGGAAGTTTTTTTTAAACAAAAAATTTATCCCCTATGCGCCGGGGAAACTTCATTTTTGGTTTTGCTTTCGTTTGATAAAAACTATAAAAAAAATTTAGCAGAACGAAGAAAAATTTAATATTTATAGCCTGATTCTCTATCTCGAACGAACAACCAGACGAACGATTCGTGTCCAAACGAAATCATCTGAATTCAGAAGTCTCTATCTCGAATGATAATTTTCGTCCATCCTTACGTTCTTACGTTATTCGCCCGAAAAGATCTGTCAAAACTGTTTTGTTTACTTTGTGTGTATAAAAGTTCAAAAATACAATATTTTAATAGAATTATTTAAAAATGTATCAAGCAATAGCATTTCTTGCAAGTGAACGTTCGAACGATGACGAATTGCGGATTCAGAGGCGGAGGCTTCGAGACAGTACAAATGTATTGGAATTGCCAGACGCCGAGTAAGTAGACGTGCATTTCTAGCATTCCAGATAGTTGTAGTGTTATGTGGGGACGAAATGGGACCCATGTCAAGTGGTCTACTCTGGCTTGCACACACATATCGCAGATTTGTATGTGTATATTAACCATTAACCTACATATTTTATTTTAGGTTTGTTAAAAACTTTCGAGTCAGCAAAGAAGTATTTGGACACATTTTTAGCGAAGTGGGCATCCATATGAAAGACACCTACCGTAATACTCACTTGCCATCAGAACTGAAACTGTCCACATTTCTACGCTTTCTTGCAACTGGAAGCTATCAAAAGTCGGTGGGTAACGAAAGTGTCTCAGTAATGGGTCAGTCGACAGTTGCAAAAGTAATAGCGGAATGCTTGAACATTTTTGAGGAGCATTTTTGCCACAAATGGGTAAGCATGTGCAGGACCGAGGAAAAAGAAAACGACGTGAAAGAGCAATTCTTCAACAAATGTGGAATACCTGGCATAGTTGGCTGTGTGGACGGGACCCACGTGCGTATAAAAGCACCCAATGCAAATTGCAGACATTTTTACTACAATAGAAAGGGGTTTTATAGCATCAATGTAATGGCAGTAAGTACAAAACCCTTATAGCCTTTTTAATGCCACTACTTCAATGCAATTCTGATTTTAGATATGTGATCACGATATGGTAATTACATTTGTTGACGCAAGACATCCTGGTGCTAACCATGACTCCTTCATTTGGAAAACTAGTGCTGCAGAGGAACAACTTCGATTGGCTTTCAATAATGGGAAGTCAAATACCTGGATACTAGGTATGGATGAAGTAAAAAAGCAATTTTAATTGGGATAACAAAAAATTTTTTTTCTTCTCTTTAGGCGATTCCGGATATCCCCTGCAGCCCTTTTTGATGACGCCGTATAGAAATCCATCAGATGTGGTACAAAGACGATACAATGATAAACACTGTAAGGCTCGAAACATCATTGAGCGCTGTTTTGGAGTTTTGAAGAATAGATTCCGAAGTATAATTGGCTCAAGAGGGCTTCATTATTCCACAGAGAAGACAACGCAAATTGTGAATGCATGTTGTACAATTCACAACACCTGTATATTTTACAAAAATTATTTGTCCCTCACCCCAATCGAAGCTGAAGACGCTATTGAGCCAAATGATGAAGACCTAGTACTTGAGGATCTTTCTACAGTAGCAGCTAATATAAGAACACAAATAGCAAACAATTTATAATAAAATTTCTCCAAATACACTTTTATTCACAGAATTCATAACATTTTATGTTCATTAATATTAATCTATACTACTATTATTATAAACATAAAAAAACTTTGGTTAAATTCAGTCAAATTAATTAATTCTATTCAGTTCAATACTATTGCTAAAAAATTATAAACAGCCAATTCATTTTAGGTACAGTGAGTGTTCTTGCCATTTGTTCAGCAAAGATAAATTTTTTTTAATCAAGATGCCAAAAAAGAATAGACTCGAGAGTTTAACAAAACCGGTGCCCATTTGTTCAACCGTAATTTTTAATTCGCTAATTGATTATAAAAAATATGACTCACACTACAACAATAACTTCAGAAATCAGAGCTTCAAATTTTTTGCTAACTTTAGGAAAACTGCAAATTGCTATCAAAATTGTGCTCTTTTTAATCGAAGTTTTCCAATAAAAATGTGATTGAATAGTGGACAGTTTTGAGGAAAATTTGCGGAACGTTCCTAAATTTTGCAAAAAGTTTGAAGCTCTGATTTCTGAAATTATTGTTGTAGTATGAATCATATTTTTATACAAACTTAGCAAATTAAAAATTTTCGTTGAACAAATGGCCACAGTTTTTTTTTTAACTCCGAGTCTATCCTTTTATGAATTACTGTACACTTTGATTTAACAAAATTATCCGCCGTCAAGTGGCTTAAATAAAAAAATATATATAAAAAGGGAACTAAACAAATTTGTCTTGCAAACTTTCAATGGCCTGTGCTTGCCTGAGAACTGTACCACTTGGTGTGGCCGCTTTTGACACCAGCAAGATCCGGTCGATGGCCTTCTCCAAATCGGTGAGCGGTGAAAGCCGGAATGGTCCACCACCTGTGGCATGCATGCTGGACGCATTTTCCGCAATTTTCTTCTTTGTGCGGCTTTTAAGATCAGCCCAAATCTGGAAAAACATTACAAGCTCAATGTTTGATACAATTTACTATTTATAAAAAGGAGTTACCTTTTTCCATTCGGTAGCTGTTCTTTGTGGAGGTCCATGTGCGTTTAATTTATTGGCTAATTCATTCCACTGCAGTTCTACCAGGCTCTTACTAGCACCAAACATTGGAGCGCCTTTTGCCAAGTCTGGATTTTTCTCCAGCTCTTTTACCAGCACATCGAACTGAGCACTGGAAGTTTTTTTAAACACTGTAAAGTATACCAAAAAATCAATTTTAATAATACGAATGTTTTTTCGATTATTTCCTGCCTTTTTGCTTGAATTATCCATTTTAGCGGCTCACACGATAGCAAAAACTCTTTCGTTTGAATTTGACTCTTTTTTTCTTTATTTGAAGTCGTATTCGTGTTAGAGAATTCACATTTGTTACGTTTTCGTCACATAACAATCAGCTGTTATCGACTAGTTATCGCCAGGGTAGCGAATTCGTGTTAGGTAGTACAAATACACGAACAAACGGCTGTTTGGATGAGACGAACGCTCGTTTCGAGATAGAGAATCAGGCTGTTAAACTGTCAGGAAAAAGTTTATAAATTTTGCTTGAATCTAAGCGAAACGGCAACGCTTTAACAAGTTGTAAATTAGAAAATATAATCGAGAATGTTATCGTCGCGACGCGTCGCTTAGACGAAAATGTTTGAATTTATAGAAAATGTAATAAATTCGACCGCCGAGCAAGAACCATTGATTTTTACTAATTTGAATCGAAGTACCTACAATAAAATTTTTATGCATAAAAGTAAATTAAATCCTTCAATAAAAATTCAGTGCTTTTTTCGAGAAAAAATGCGACTTTTCTTGGGTTTTAGTGCTTTTTCCAATTCAAAACTTGGCAACACTGACTATCTGTATGGAAATAAAAAACGTCAAACCAACACTTTATTTCAAAGTATGTAGTTTGGACATTTGTTTCAGTGAAGAGCGTGCGCATGGCTATGCTCTTATTAAAATTTTTAGTGTAAAATTTGTCGACTTAAGTGACTTCTTGGGGGCATATAATTTATTTTATCACAGCGAACGGCAGTGCGCGCGAGGAACGAAAGCAGCCACAGTAGCATGCTGAAATGACTCGCTTATATATACACGAGATTTGGACGTCCAATGGACATGTTTGAGATATCTTTGGAAAGGTCTTGCAGAGTGTGTCCAGAAAATGTATTCAAGCTTCATAAGCGATTAACCGGATTCTTAAAAATTAGGCTAAAGTGTTGCGAAACAAAAAAAGTTTTTTTGCTTTTGCCGGTTTAAGGGGGCATCCAACATATTTAGTGTTATTCTATAGGCCAATACCTTTCAAACGATACCTTATATATTAAGTTCCGGCCACTAGTTGGAAAGATATAGAGGTATATGTGTTTTGGTACGTGGCGTCTGTACGTACCATCATTTAATTTTTTTCAAACCTTCAGGAATTAAATTTCAAAAAAAACTAAGATGGTTTTGTTCCAGGATGTTTTGATTCGTATGCCTTTGCAAAATGCAATTTTTTAAACTACAACTGAAGCCGCACTACTCAGCCCATGTCATTCGTGTGGATATCAGTAGAAGGGCCTTCAAACAAGCTATCTAACGCTATCTTTTGTGTTTATGAAGTATAAATATGTCATAACGTTATCGCCTGAAAACTAAAAATCGGGCTGCTGAAAATATAGATTTCGAGAATTTTCTCAAAAACTGGTCAGTCGATTTTATTCTTAGTCTCCACAAACCTAGCCCGAAACCTTAGCTTTCATCTGGTATATAGCTTATATCTGGGAAAACTCTTGTTGTGGAGATATTACGATTCAAATTGAAAAAATGTCGCTCCAAAAAGGGTCAAATGGTTAAAAATTAACATACTCGTCTAATTTGGTTACTTTAAGATATAAAAATAACATACCCAGTTCCCCGAAAAAAATTCCCATTCCCCGATTACCACTTAAACCGAAATTCCCTGCAAATCGTGGAATTTTCCGCGAGTTGACAAGTTGAAGGATGCAGCTGTGCTAATCACTTCGTACATGTCTTGGAAACCACAATTTGTGTGTATTTTAGAGTTTTTTTTTTCAGTCATATGCCGAAATTGTAACATTTTCAACGTTTAAATTGTAGTTATATACACAGTATTTAACTATGCTATATGTGTTTATCACCCGCACTTAACCTACCTGGGAAGACGCGTACAATATTAGCTACAGTTGTACATAAATATATATGTATGAATGCATTTAGTTCACCCAATGTGCCGCTACTACTTACATATGTACATATGTAAATTGCCACACGGTCAAAATTTTGGGTTTAATTTTTAAACCGCGCTGGGACTACTGCCTTTTTAAATTTTTTATAGTCTACTTTTTAAACCAGTTAATAGTTTTAAGCAATTTTTAATATGTTCTGGTTTAAATTTTAGTCGAAAAAGACCGTGGTTTAAAACTCAAACCAAAATGTTTTAATTCTAGTTTCTAGGTTTCATATATAGAAATTTTTGTTTAAAATCTAAACCGAAATAGAAAATGTTTGCACACAGCGAAATGTGGTGTTGATTCAAACTCAACATATGAAAGCACATTTACATGCATGGCTGTAGTTGAGTGTGTAAAGATGCTTGATACAATTGGTTGCTACCAAGGCTGTCCGGGTTCAATCCCCATCAGACGGAGCATGAAATTTAAGACCTTTTTTATATTCTAAATTATGAAAATGTTTGGGTTAAAAATTTAAACCGCACTGTTTAAATTCTAAACTCAACATAGGTGCTCTCTTTTTTAATCTTGGAAGGTTTGTATTTGAAACTGAATTTAGTTTGGTCATATATGTTTGTATGTAGTCCAAAAAATTTAAAATTAAAACCGAAACTTTTAACCGTGCACTGAGCAAAACTACTTGAAAAAAAGCATTAGTTTAATAGCACGAGTGCAACATCGTACACGTGATAGAAGTAAAACTTCTTGTAGAAATCTTAACAAAAGTATACTACGAGACGATCACACGAATACAGTTGTTTATTGTATCCAAAGGTACCAACTTGATCAGGTTGATAAGATTTTATCATTTCTCATAATTTGCTTTTAATTTTAATTTTTTCAAATACAGAGGATATGATCATTCTTTTTTGCTTTATTCCGTATACGGAAAATTATATGTTTCAATGGACACATCGCTTTGAATACATAATTTAGATTTAGATAATATTTTTAGCAATTTAGTTGAGAAAAATAAAACATTTAGATTATTGTTGTATTTAGGTCGATTTTAAATGTGCTACCCCAAAATAATTGATATCAAATAAAACACCTCTTTGAGGTAAAATTTTCGAGTGACGAAAGCTGAACTAGAAACACAAAATTTATGATATCAATTTCGTGACGAAAATTATACGCATTTTTTAACCGCCTTTGGAACGTGCGGAAATCCTTTTTTTTTATTTATTCGGAACGTTGCAAAACTGCGTCTACTGCTAGAAACACAAAATAAAAAACAGAACTTTTGCAACGAATCGTATGAATAAATAAAAAGATTTTCCTCACGTTTCAAGTAAAATTTTTGTTTAATTCTTTTTAGTAGATAAATTACCTTTACAAAAATACCAAACATGTTCACATTGCATACAACTAACTTTTCGATTTATGCCCATTTAGGCGGAATTGTGCTACGTACAAAATTTTATGCAAATCGGACCATAAATAAGATTTTTTCGAATAGATCGGTCCATGGTCCACTTCCCGGAAAAAAGGATTCTATATCTTAATCTATGCTAAAAGCTACCTACGTACCAAGCAAATCGGACTATAAATAAGACTTTTTCGAATAGATCGGTCCCTGGTCCACTTCTCGGAAAAAAGATTATATATCCTACTCTATGCTAAAAGCTATCTACGTACAAAATTTTAAGCAAATCGGACCATAAATACGATTTTTTCGAATAGATCGGTCCCTGGTACACTTTCCGGAAAAAAGGATTCTATATGCTAGGCTGATCCCGCGGTAGTTGGCTCGTATGGCGGGATCGCCTTTCTTGTGGCGCTTGAGATGAACTCTCACGTTATTCTGCATAAGAGTTGGTGCATGCACCTTATCAACTTCATGCACCATACTTGAATATCTCAGCTGTCAGGCCTTCAGCTCCAGGAACTTCGTCATAGCCAGGCGGTGGTACATCGATTACATCATCATCGACTGGGGTTCAAGTTCGTCTTCCCCACTACTTTCAGTGTTGCACCCATTCATGAAAGATTTGGGGTGTTATCGAAACATACAGACTATCCCCCTTATTCTGGAACCCGAATTTTCGTGATTCGTAATTCGTAGCTACGCTACGAAAAACGAAAAACCCACATGCTGCAACCCTTGCGGAAACATGTGCAGCACTGCCAGCTATCAGTTCTTTTTCGAAGATAGCTGAATGAAGGGAAACAAAGTGGAAAGGAATTAACAAAACACTCATCATGTGCTTGTTTATTGTAAAATTGGTTAATTTTACATATTTTGAGGAAAATGATGGATTCTGATGCATTTGCAGTTATAGCAGCAGTGTAAGAGGGCGCTATGGCAATGGATTCACAAAGGTATGCGGAGTTGTCGGGCATAGTAACCATGGGCGCATCTATGTCAGCTTCTGGTTGAATTGTTGAACCACAAGCCAGAACTCCTATGTCTGAAGAACTGGTTCCCAATCCATTTAGTGCAATAACAGCTTCTTCCAAGCCATTGAAAACATGCATTTTGTTAGGTCCACCACCTGTTGCGGTTGCTTCTGCCTTCGGTCGCGCTTAGGGATTATAACTCTTACTAAGTAGAATTCTCCATTCTGTGTTGCCGGAGAAGAGGCACTTCCGCATGTCAAAGGTATACAATATTTCTTGTGCATATCACAGTATTTTCGCGCAGAACCCACATCGAAATTTGCAAAAAAGTGCATAGTGCAAACCGAATTTATTCATAATTTGAAACATTTATTTTAAATAAAAGTTTAATCCTTTGATTATACGTGTATGTTAACGTTTTGGATTCCGGTTATGCGTTTGGACACAACAACCGAAAATCGTTGTACAAATAACTAAACCAGACCCAAGTTTCTCGATAAGGGGCAACAAAGATTCTTGCTTGCTCGTTTATATAAAGTAGTGGATAAAAATATACGTATATGCGAAAGGCAAATTTATCTGTTTAAATAAACACCACTAATATTTCCTGCCAGCACACATAGATTTACATCTTTTATCTCCCCTCCTACATAGAATTGTTTTGGTACAAAATTACGCAAAAAAGCTTACTCGTTCGTTTTTAGG